CTCCTCATGGAGGTGTTGTTGATAACAAGTCACCTGATGTTTCTGTAATATTTCGACCCTCCCCTACCTTTCAAGAGTGTCGCCTCTATTTACAGTCTCAACTCAATGGTTTTAATGGAAAACGGGCACACCTGCTCAGGCGGAAAGCTGCACATGCGCAGCGAGTCGTGTTGTCCGGTCGCTATGGTTAATGCGGACTGACGGAATGAAAAAAAAGTGACTGACCGCCCGCAACCTTTGCCATTTCCTCGTAGTACCTATGGGAATGATAGAGATTAAAAAATCCATATCGGCTGGACACGGATCGATAATCGATATTCCGTTTGACGCTCGCGATTTCCCTGTTGATCAGCGCGAGGAGCCATTTCCTTCGCTTTCAGTGTGCGTTGCGCGTTCTTCAGAACTCCAGTGCTTTTTTTGTCGTTCGAGTCGCTGCTGAATGCTTTCGACCCCTTTTCACCTCTTTCACCTGACAGAATCTCCCTGACAGAATCAGGGAGACTCCGGGGAATCGTTTCGGTCGTGCGATCCGCGTTTTCAATTCCACTCTTCTCTTCCCTCCGAGAATATTTTCCTCGCGAGCGAAAGTTTGGAGTTGAATTAAAAGCTGGAGTTGATAGAATTAAAAAGCACCCGTCGGATGATCGACACATTTCCCTGAAGTAAGCGAACTTCGAGGGCCACTATATTCCCACAATAGGCCATGCAAGGCAAATTTCGATGTGGCTGAAGTTCATCACGAAATGTTCAATGCGGCAGAAGCGCATAATATACCTGACCTATACACGCAGAATCAAATTAATGCATTTTCGTCGAAAAAAAAGTTGCCCTCCATGTGATGCGTTTTTATCGCATCCAACATTTGATGCAATAACCGCATCCAAAACTCGATGCGATAAAGACGCATCACATGCAGGACAGATTTTTTCGCGAGAAAAATGCATCGAACTGAGGCACTGAATTTTCTATGTGAAGGCTGAGATTCTCCGGTTGAGAGCACGGACCGACGGAACAAAGGTCACGTGAAAAATTAAGGGAAAAATAATTCAGCAATGCAAAGAAGTAACCGTCGAGAGAGAGAGAGAAATCGTCTGAGTTTTTGAACCTGAATTCATGAGGATGATTCGTCTGATTCTTTGCAGGGTCGAAGAGGAGACAATTATTTAAAAAAATACAGACTAACATGAATCCTCACGAGAACAATAGAAATCGCTCCTCTGATCAGGTGGGAACAGAAACAAACCAAGCACCCTTTCCTCCTCTTTCGTAGAGAATCTTTCCCGACAAGGCTTTAGCGAGAGAGTCAAATCCTCCAGAAGTGCTGCACAGAAACACGGCAATTGCAGAGGCGATGCATTAAAAGTACCGTATCAAATATAACTAGGCATATAGACAGTCGTGACTGAGTGACTGACTGACGCTAATTCATGTTCTAGAGAAGCAAGAAATCTGAAACTTAGAACGCACGTACCTTTAGGGATGTAGAGTTCAGAAAAAATCCTATTTTGGAGGTACATGCCCAGGGGCCACCTTTTTTGGGGGGAGATGTTCCCAATAATATATATTTGCTTCAGTCAAACGGAGACATGGAAAGCTGATATTTGGCATGGACATACCTACTGAGACACTCAGTTCATGAAAAATGTCAATTTGTAGATGCATAACCTGGTGGCATATATTGGGTTGGAAAGAAAGTCTTGCAACACTCTGCGCAAATTTTTCAAAATTTTATAACTTTATTGAAATGCAATTTCAATCTACAATGTAATGACCATTGTTGTCTATGACATGTTCCCAACGCACGGGTAACTACTCGATGCCCTTTGCCCAGAACTCTGGCGATTGCGAAGCGAAGAAACGGCCGACATCATTTTCGA